TTTTGTTAAGCACTCTGTATCTTTTCAACAACACGGAAGAAGGCCCTGTTTCTTTCGAGCCTTTGCATGCTCTTTTTCCTGTTGGGAAAGGCTCTAAAAGAACAGAGAGTTTCTGTTTTTAAGCTGAAATTAGGTATAATATATAACAACAATGTGGCACAAATAAATGATAAAGCAGCTTTTTATTTTAGAAATGCCTAATCTAGGTTTTAGTTGGTCAATTCACAGAGCAGTTGAAGACAAAGAATTTATGGGAATGAATTGAAATTTCAAAAACTGAAAGATAGCAAGTTTCTCTTGGATTTGTTCTGAAATAATGTGGTCCACTAAGTGCCATTTCATTTTTCTGACTCCCTCCTCTGAAACAGTGGGGTTGAGATAAAAGCTTCAAAGGATGTGGGTGAACTGTGAGCTCAGGGAGGCTAGCACCTGGCTGCCCCAGAGCCCAGCCCCCCGACCACCAGGCCTCCCTTCCCCCCGAGTCCCAGAGCGTTGGCTGGCCGAGCTGCACATCCCCACCATGTCCCGGAGTGCTGGGCGGGCAGCATGCCCCACCCCTGGAACACCAGGAGGGCAGCGCACCCCCACCCCCCAACCCTGGAGCCAGGTAGCATGAGCACTGGCTCCAGCCACCCAGAGTCCCTGGCTGCAGACCAGCCCCCATTATCCCTAACTCCAGCCCCAGCCCAGGGCCCTGGCCACAGGGGATGAGCCACAGTCTGCGCCGGCAGGAAGCAGGATGGGTCTGGGGGAGGAGCGTTGGCAGGGCCACGCAGGGCTGTTTGGGGAGGCTTAGATTCCCCCGGCCTTTGATACCTGCCGCCCATGACTGTTTGTATCATGCATAAGCTCCGTATTGTGGAATCTGCAGGCCAGAGGGAACTTTCTGACCCCATCCATCTGGAGGCTAGGCCTCCGAGTTCATAATTAGTGAGGTATGTCAATGTTTTATAAAACTGTAGCTGTTTACAAGAAAGGCTTGAATTATTGTGCATAATATTTGTTATGAATTTAGCCTTTTTTTCTTATTCACAAAGAGTTTGTGAACAGACTCTTATTAACCTGTTCATCATTCACAATTATTTGATAACAGCATACACACACAAATTTCAGCCTTTGGGTTGTTTAAAAACTATTCAAATTTCAGCCTATGGGTTGTTTACAAACTGTTCTTTTTGGCCAGTCACTCTCCATTATTCATGCTCAGTGACTTGTCACCTAAGTCACATGACATTCTCCTTCCTGAACAGATCAATGAAACTTTTTAAATTGGAGAATAAATAGGAGAATAAAGCAGAAAATAATGTATCGTGATTACACATCAAAAACATTTAAAACAAATCTCTATTAAACAAAAAATAATAAAACTATTAATGGGGAAGAAGAGCTTTTGTAGTTCTAACTCCTCTCCCAATGTGACCAGCATTAGAAAATGTTTCTTCTGGTTTTGCTTTTAATATTTGATAGCTTTATATTTTAAAAGCCCTGTCTAAAGACTAATAGCAAAAAGTGCCAGATTCTGTTTTATTTTTATATATATATGTTAGAGAGCTCCTCCAGGTCTAGAATCAAGGAAAAAATAAAAATAATAAAAATTTGTAGAGAACTATCTTTCCTGCATAGCTTTTTGTGTGCTATAAGAGATTGATATTTCTATACTTTAAACAGAAATATGGTGGAACAGGTCTCTACTGTCTAGCTATTGTAGTGCAGTCTGCAGGCTACAAGCAACCCACAGTGGTTCTCCTGTAACAGCCCTTCAAGCTTTAGGGTCAAATGTGAATCCCCTCCATTAGTGCATGAGATATAATTACCACAGTTCTGCAGCAAACAAGGGGGCAAGTTGTTGGACCAGAAGTCTCTTGGATAATAGTAGGGACATTATCATGTGGTTTTTTTATTTCTCCTGGTTCCTGTACTTTCGTTCCTCCCAGAGCATCCCAATTTAGATGACAGATATGGGGGATGTTTTGGTAAGAATCCAGTGGCGGGAGTGAGAGTTCTTTGATTGTACTTTGTGTTTCATAGAAGACAGTAACATTTAGAGGAGGAATTTGGAAAAATAGAGAATTGGGAGATTCAGGGGAAAGGTTTATCTGACTGTTACCTTCTTGGTGTGTGTTGCTCTGTTGTTTTAACATCCAAACCTTGGTGAGGGAGCAGGTGGTATGGTTTGAGCACCATGTCAGGGAATGAAAGTTCCCTCTCCACGCTAGTATTTGTGGATGTTTGGTTTAGTAGTTGGTTGTGCTGGAAGGGCAGTTTAGTCAACCGTTTTGTGCAGATTGGTATTTAGAAGGGGTGAGGGGGAAGTCTGGCATCTCTAGGGGTCAGATCTAAAGTCGCAGAATATGGTAGGTGGCGTATGGGAATTGTAATGGTAGGGCATGTGCCTATGTGTGAAGGAATAGAGAGTATGTACTATTAAGTAGCTTAATTTCTCTTCTTGTTTTTGTGGTTTTGCATGAAGTACAGTGTGTGTATGTGCACCAACGACGACAGGACTGCCAAGTTAAAAATCTCAGCCACAGCCAAAATTCAAAGATTTTAGAATTTATGAACAGACAGCAAACAGAAAAGACCAAGAAAATTCAAAGGGAATAAAAACTAACATTTTCTGAAGTTTCACATTGTTTGACCATCTACTGCGAGAAAACACAGGGATTTACGCCCAATTTTAAGGTCTTTTTAGAACACAATCCTAACTATGGAGTCACTAGCAGGTGCTTCTGTAGTGTTGTTTACTATTTAAACAATTCTTGAGTCTTTAATGGCTTGGTCATGCTTTTGTATCCTCCTTTTTCACATGATTTCAAGGTCTTATTGCAGCTACAATGTAACAAGTCCTGTAAGGATCTTGTAGGCTTCATATGGGTAGATTTCTGGTATTGCTTGTATGCTTTTTAATATTTTGTGTCACGTATTGTAGTTTGTATATGAATGAGTGTCTTGAGCCTTGAAAAATTAATAACAAAAATATATTTTCCCCCCTTTAAAAAGTTACAAAAATCTCCAGTAACATATTTTAGGTTACGTAAAGCAGATTAATTTGAAGTATTTTCTGGCAGTCACATAGAAGAGTCAATGTTTTGGACATGAATGACCTTTTCTCAAAGATGCTTACAGAGTAATCCTATCCACCTTTGTGAAATATCCACAGGCAGTGAAGTGAAGTGAGTGTGTTTCACCAGCCATACATGGACATTTCTATGCTGATGCAAGTGAAACCTACTGGCATGACATCATTCTTTGGGATCTCTATTATCATGAGTTGCCTTTTCCAACTATCTGTATCCATAATACATCTAGGTAACACAAACCTATATTGGGCTCTATTAATAATTCAGTATATGAAGGTAATAAACCAAGAATACAAATAAGCCATTGCATATCTATCATTTACATCAGTGATGCACTTCATTCAAAAGCCACAATGAAGTAGCACTGAAATTCTGTGGGTAGGTTATCTAAACAAACTTATCTGAACTGTGAACACCTGAATCTTTGAGTGATGGAGTTAAAGGAACAATTTGGATGTCATGAACTTTCAGACTTTAAATGAGACTTGCTGGCCTTGTCTATGTTATGAAGTTTTAGAAAAAATAATCCCACCGGTGCTCTTCTCAGTTTAGCTGCATTAATGGCATCCCTAGTGTAGACAGGCACTAGCCACTTCCAGTGTTTTGACCATCAAGTCAATTACATTTGCTCATCAGGGAGCGGCAGTGGGAATATTTTATACTGCAGGCATGGCCCTTGAAACTAACAGGGTACAAAAGTTATGAAAAGCTGTGCACAAAACTTTATAGAAAAAATAATAACTCCAGTCTAAGCAATTTCACACCTAGAAATTTCACTTCTAGTTAATTTTTCATAAAGTGCACAGTTTCATATCAACACATGAAAAAATGAATTTAGCTGTTTCAGTTTTGAAAAAATCTACAGCTGAATAAAATTTAAATTTTGGAAAGGATTTAGTGTCTTGCTTAAGGAAAGGTCCATTTTTGAGAAAAATGATATTTTGGGGAAAAATTCTCAAAAAAATCAGTTTGTGAAATCAGACTATTTTCATAAATTCACACATGATGAAGTTCAAGGATTTTGAATCTATATTCATCACATGTGACAGATGTTTATCATATTGCTTAGCACCCTACTGGAAGGCTCTCGACACGACAGTGATGAGACCAGTGTAACAACCTATATAGAATAGAAAAGAATTCTTCTTTATTTCTCAACATTTTGCTGTTTTTAAGAATTACAGGCATTTTCTCAATCTTGAGTCTCAATTCTGCAACATTTACTCACATGAGTAACTCTGAGTCCAATGGTGTGTACCTTCACACTGATAGGTGTGAAGGTACACATGTGCATAAGTGTTTGAAGGATCAGGGCCACTGGTAGCATTAACAGAAGTTACATGTAGTGCTATGTATCAAGATGAGAATACTAGTATATCTCATATCTTTTTTTTTTTTTTGGGGTGGTTTTTGTAACTCAAACACAACTTCTAGTCTGAAAAGATCTTATTTTATCTGTGTATACATAGCATGGGACAGGTTTCAATTTAAATATTAGTGTTTTGTTGCATATAATTTTAAACCTTTTCTATCTGATACTTACCCTAGTTTTAAATGAAATTCTTCCCATTTTATTTTTGCAATTGCCTGTATTACTTTGTTAGACTTATTGCCACAGGATTATATTGTGTACAGAAGAGGTGCTGTTTTCTCACCAGTGTATTGATTATGAGATGAATTTCTGTGTAATTATTATTGTTGCTGTTGTTTTGGAATAACATACCTATTACTTGAATATGCATCCAATATATTAATTCTAAAAATAAGCACATTTCTAATGACCATTGCATAGTGGTAACCTACTGAGCCTTCTATTTGCTCCTGGTTTCTAAACAACTTTTACAACTTGAAATGTCAGATATTATGCACAATCGAGGCTTTCCCATTCTCCGTAATTGGACAGCAAGGAAAAGCTCTTACCTGCAGGCTGTTGAAGATAACAAAGAAGACTAACATCCAGAGGTGCCTGTAAGCCATGTGCAGTCCTCCCCAAAGCCATGTAATGGAAATCAGGGCAAACAGGTATAAGACCAGTGGGATCTCTGGAAACCATAAACATAGTCTTTCAGTTGTTATGCCTTGTAAAAAACACTTTCAGCATTACCCATGTATAAAGAAGCTTTAGTTTTCAGATCTCTCTCACTACCCTTTGTGCACCTGAATATCTTTCTTTAAAGGACTAACATTGGAGTTCATGCTCCAGTGATGACCCGGTGCATTTCTGAGGTTGCCCACTCGTTGTCTTGCGGTGGTGGGTGGGGGCACCGGGGGTGGGGGTGGGGGGGTGGTAGGGGTATGGATTTGTGTTGTCCCTCACCTGGAGCACCACCTGCTGGCTGATTTACCAAACAGATCTGAAAGGTTCAGTGTGAGACAATCCAATTAAATGAGATAAATAGGGACTCTTGCTTTATGGGTGGGGAAGTGTACACGTGGCTTTGGTAAATATGTAAACTAAGTGGAGGAGTTCTCGATAAACACTGGAAGTTTAGAGGAAAAATAAGGAAGATTTACTTCCTAGAATGGTGGGGGGAGGGGCCTGTGGGGGAGGGAGAATCCAAAATATGAACAATTCTAAAATTTATGACTCTTACATTTTAAACTGGGAATATAGATTTGTCACGGATTTGTTGTTACTTATGCTGCAAATTAAACAAGAGTATGGTCCTGTAAAAACATGAGCATGTGAGTAACTTTATTTAACTATTCTCTTTGTCTTCAAAGTTAGTATTTGCATGTTGAGTTCACTCACATGCAAAAGTGCTTGCAGAATCTGGCCTTAAGCACAAAACCCAGACAATATAAAGAGATGTTTTCAAAAACTTAAACTATATATGTCTTTCTGATTGCCTAATATCCAGATATATTTTATACATGTTTGTCTTCCTATATTGCCTTATATCCAGATATATTCATATCTCTTATTGTATTTGTAGTCCACAGGATCTAAGTAATGTTGAGGAAATGATATGGCAATACAGTGCAAAGTTCACAAAAAGGGGAAGCAGAATATAGCATAAATAAATAAAATTCTTTTCTTAAAGTCAAGTGAATCTGGATTGGCTTCTACTGTTGACAGTTCTCATGACAGATTTCAAAGTCCATATTTGCCCAGTTTTGTAAATTTCACTTTGCAGAGGTGTTCTGCAAAGCATTGCCCCTTCTCCTTGTAATTAATGCTATGTCAGCAAATTTGACAGACAAGAGAGGGATATTGAACAAAGGTAAATGGGAATACACAGGAGCATGTACAGCCTTCCTTGCCTATGTTTCCTATTGGTGTCAAGTAACAGGGGGTAGCCATGTTAGTCTGTAACCACAAAAACAACAAGGAGTCCAGTGGCACCTTAAAGACTAATCTTCCTGGACATTCTAAAACAAATTTAAAAGAAGCTATACTTGAACAAAAAAAACTTCAGAAACAGACTTCAAAGAGAAACTGCAGAACTAAAATTCATTTGCAAATTTCACACCATTAATTTGGGCTTGAATAGGGACTGGGAGTGGCTGGCTCATTACAAAAGCAACTTTGCCTCTCCTGGAATTGACACCTCCTCATCAATTATTGGGAGTGGACCACATCCACCCTGATTGAATTGGCCCTGTCAGCACTGGTTCTCCACTTGTGAGGTAAATCCCTTATCTTCATGTGTCAGTATAATAATGCCTGCATCTGTAATTTTCACTCCATGCATCTGAAGAAGTGGGGTTTTTTACCCATGAAAGCTTATGCCCAAATAAATCTGTTAGTCTTTAAGGTGCCACTGGACTCCTTGTTGTTTTTGTGTTTCCTATTACGTTCCAAGAGAAAAGTCACATGAACATAGCCATGGCATTGGCTGCCTATCTTCCAGCAAGGCAGGGAATAATTACTTCAGGGACTTTATTATTATTTTGACAATTAATCTTATTAAATGAATGTTTAAACTTTCACTGTGGGGGGAACTACTTGGAAAAAAGCATAGCATGAGCTGGTGCTGTATTTTTCAGGTTTCCCCACATAAGACCTGATCCTGCTCAATGAGAACTTTGATATTGACTTCGACATGGACAGGGCATTGTTTGACATTATCTCAGTCATGACTTTCAAATCACCTGCTGTACCTTTCCTGACCAGATTATGTCACGATTTTGTGTTGCAGATGAAAATCTACACTATGTATGACAAATGGAAACCTAGAACTCCTGAGGTGAAAAGCTAAAGCAATAAAATAAAGGAACACTTAGCTCTCCAGAACAGTTAACAGGATACATTCCTTATTAGTGGAAGATACCACAACAAAGCCACTTCAGCCAATAGAGTCCTACGGCCTGAGCACAGAGCTGGGAACCAGAAAACTCAGTTCTAATCCTGGTCTAGGTATTGACTTTCTCCTCTATGGCCAAGGACAAGACATCAATCGTCTCTTACTCCATTTGACCATCTGCAAAATGAGGCTAATAATGCCTATTTATCTCAGAGTGGTATTGTGAGGATAAGATAGATCCCTATGCTCCCCAGTGATGGATGGAGAGGAACACAATACTGCTAACTGAAGAAGGGAAATGTGACTATGCAACACGTTGCTCTCTTCATAGCTCTTCCATACCAAGGACATGATCCAAAGCCCACTGAGGTAAATGGAAAGATTCCCATTACTTTCAATGGACTTTGGAGCAGGCCTTAGCATAGTACATGTTGTTTAAGAGAAACCAGCATGCAAGGTTGTCCTGAGATGCATTAGGTTTGGTCATGATTTTTCCATTGCCGCTTCAGGGTCTTATGATCAGCTGGCTGCAGGGCCTACCCAGTTTCACTTCCACAGAACCAACCCCAGAGAGGAAAGCATGCAGCAAATTTGCAGAAAATGAACCTGCAAATGTTTTGGGGTACGTATCAGCCATGGAAAGAAGTTACTCACCTTGTGCAATAACTATGGTTCTTTGTGATATGTCTCTCTATGGGTGCTCCACAACTCACCCTGCTCCCCTCTACTTCAGAGTTCTCATAATAAACTCTGTGGTAGAAAAGGAACTCGTGGCAGAGCACATGCAGGGTGCAATATATGTGTGAGTCAAACGGACACTGCTACTAAAATTCTCCAATCAGCAGCACAGGAACGCAGACACACCTACAGTGGAAGTCCCATAGAGACACTACTTGAAGAAGAATGGGAACATGCATGCCATCACAGTGTCTATAATCTTCACTCCTATTGAGTTCATAAAGTGTTCAAGTGTTTTAAGATGTAGAACACTTTAAAGCACTAAGTATTATGTAGCGCTCTATTTCTTACTATAAGTGTTAAGTATTTCTTTTCACACTATGTTGTATGCATCACTGAACCAGATCCTCAAAACACTGATTAGATATTTGCTTTTCGTATTTTTGAAAAGATAACATATAATTGGCAGTTCTATTTGCTAATATCTGAGAGTAATAAACAACTAATTCTTTTGTGAGAATTACCACATTTTTATTTTTAAACATAAAGTAAGGAATTGTTCTATTATCTACTTAACACTTTTCTATAAATAGGGAAATTCAGTAGTTACCAGTACAGCTATTCATTTATCTGTGTTCAAATGTTAATGAATAGAAATGCCATTTCTTTGTCTAAATCTCACAATCATGTTCAGTACCTTTGTATTCCTTTAATTAACTTAGCTCACACTTCCATGTAAAATGGAATTAATGCAATGTAGTGAAGACAAAGAGCAGTAATGTACACACATTCTAAAACCCATAGTTGGGCCTAAGAAGTTAGCAGTGCAAAAAAAATTGCAAGTAAGTTCAAACAACTTCTTATAGTAGCTTTTTATTTTCATTTGCAATGTAGCTTTACCACTGGAAAACTTGAGTGCTGATGGAACAAAATGAATCTGCGGAGCATGCCAAAAGCAGCATTTCTGCATGTGCAAACCAGATTTTTGTATGTGCAATACTAACTTTAAGTAATTTTAGCCCCCCCAAAAAACATATTCTGAAATCCATAATGACTTAACATATCTTAAGAGTAAAAGATGAAGAAAATGGATTGATAAACTCTCTCAATCTGAAGTACTTTTGAAGTATGGGGAGCCTCATTCTAATGTCACTTCCCCACCAGCACTTATCAAGAACAACACTGAACTCAACTGAATTAAACCAATGTAAAACCAGTTCAAGTAAAATCAGAATCAAGCCCAGTAAATCTAACAAGATCTCAAAGACTTCAACTGAGATGGTGAACTATAACTCTATAATAAATATAACCACAAGCTTTGGGATCTGCATATATCGATTTAAAAAGATACAAAGTGTGTCTCATGCTTGCTGTGTGCCCAGTTTTGTTATAAGAACATCCTCGGCTTTATTATTCAGCAGTATTGTCAATAAGGAGATCATAGCCTATTAATATAATGCTGAAGCTCAGCCACTATTTGTAGTTCAAAAGCTGTCTGAGTTCACCTCATTGACATTTCGTTCTGACAACTGGGTATATTTTGATCAAACAATGCCTCAAAAACTAGGACAACTAAACCTGCTAAGCAACTGTAAAATATCTGGTTTTAAATAGTTTGCAAAAATAGGTACAGGGTAAGAAAAGAGAGTATCAATAAATAGGTCTGAATTCAATAGGGCTTGGAGTTGAAGAGACGAAATGTCTGTGGTTTCTTTATGGAAAAAAATTGTGCTTTCAGACAAATTCTTTTCTCTTATAGTTAAGTCTAAAACCAAACCATGATCAAATAAAGAGCAACCACCCACCTACATATTCCCTCAATAAACCTCAAGTAATACAGAATAGAAAGCTGTGGTGGAACAGTAAAGTCAGCGGCAGTACAGTGTGGGTGGGACATGTTGCAACACAGCTTTGGTGTGCATTATATACTGTAACTTGAACTGGATTTGATCGCTACCCATGGCAAAACTACATATCACCCATTGTTTATCAGTTTAGTAGATGGAGAGTTTCATTTAAGTTACTGTCAGTCCATCCATTTCCTGAAAATATGTATTACCACCCTGATTGGGCATACCTGTTTCTGTGAGATCCAGTTCTTTTCCATAGTTACAGGT